GAGGGATACAGAGGTGCTGGGATAAGGTCAGGATCAGTGGCCAAAGAAATGGGTTTGAGGGGCAGGGCGGATGTAAAGAAATAGACCGGTTGTTGGGACCAACCCATGCCACCCGTCTTGTCCCACCTTTAATTTATTGATTCTGACTTACTGAGATCGGAAGGTTAACTTTTCAAAACAAGGCATTTCATTTTATTTCTGAAATCAGAATATGCCAGTGGGTCAAGAGCAAGGACACTCCCTCCCAAAGTACAGAGCCTCTTTTCTCCCACCCTGGGCTGCGGGTGGCCCCGGAAACTGGGCCTCTCCTCCCACTCCCGTGCTGGAGAGTCCACCATGCCTCCAAGGGCTTCACGCGCCTAGAAATACCAGTTCACAGCGGGGTAGGCTCTGGGGCTTCCAGGGGGTCCGCGCTGCGTTTCCGACCTGGCCCAGAGAGGGCGCTCCGGCCAGCCTCACAGACGGACGCAGCAGCAGCCAGCCGCGCCTGCGCCTCGGGGATGGAGCGCCGACATAGGAGGCTCAGCAGGGCTACCGGGATCACCTGTGGGGAAGAGGCAGAGAGAACTGAAGTCAGAGAGAGTGAGGCCATCTAGCATTCGGTGTGGGAGTCAGAAGCCACTAGGTTGGATGCAAGCCCAGAAGGGAGTTATCAAGACCAGCAATTGTAGTGTGGTGGGTTAAGAACAGAAAGACGCCTTCCCCCGGACCCAGAAAACTCCTATTCATCCTTTAAAACCCAGCTCAAAGGCCCTTCCCCCTCTTTCCTGGCTCCCCTCCTAAACAGACCCCTTTTCTGCACCCCTGCAGCAGCCTTTCCGCACCTCTGTGCCTCCTTGTCACGATCACAATGCCCCGAGAAACAGGGAGCTCGTTGGCAGAACGTCTCTAACTTTGTAAACCCAGTACCAAGCAAGATTCCTGATACACTGAGTCCTGAGGACTCAGTAAATGTTTGCTGAATGACTAGCTGCCGGCAGGATACCTGCTCCTTCTCGTGTGCGAGCTGGATGTGGAAGGAGATGGGAGCAGCCGGAATGTCATCCGACAGTGGCTGGGGGAAGTGGATCACCTGCAGGAGGGTCTCGATGCATCGAGCCTTGGGCTGTCCAGAGAACGGCTGTGGAAGAAGCAGTAAGGTCAGTGTCCGGCTAGAAGGCAAAGGGGCGGGAGAAGAGAGTGGAGGAGGAGAAAGAAGTGGGAGAGTGGCAGGCAGGCACCTGAGATCCTGAAGACTGGCCACAGAGGCTACAGAGAAGTGGTCCGTATAGGCAATCCCAAACTCACAATCACCACGTGTGAAGAAAAAGGGTTAGTGGTGGGCTTTGATTGGCTGGGTTAAACTGGGGATTAATGGCAAACTGGTCATTCCTTCAGCCGTGTGCCTCCAACCCCATAGGCGGGTCGTCTTAAACTGAACTCACTCTTCCGGTTTCCTCCTTAACCCTATCCTTCTTTATACCCTGCCAAGGTGGCTCATTGGCAAAGCTGTTCCTTTTTGTCACCCTCCCCTCTCCTCCGCTAGCTCAGCACTGCCCAAGAGTAATATAATGCGAGCCAGAAATGTAATTTAGGATTTTCTAGTACTGCATTCAAAAAGAAACATGTGGAATGCAAAAGAAACAGAAAATTAATTTTAATCATGTTTTATCTCATCCAGTGTATCTAAAATATTATTTCAATATGTAAATAATATTAAAAATTATTGGTAGGATATTCTACAATATTTTTGTATCGTGTCTTTGAAATCCAGTGTCTAGTTTATAATCCCAGCTCATCTCAGTTCAGGTACTGAATTTCGATGTAAACGTAAAATGTAGTTCTACCAAAACAATGAGGTCGCATTTAATGAAGAAAATTACCCTGCTTCAGTTTTTAAGCAAAACTTCAAGTTCAGCTCCTCGGACACACTAGCCACATTTCAAGGGCTCAGTAGCCATATATGGGTGGTTGCTGCCATTTTGGATGGCTCGAGTCTAGCTATGTTTGGCAAGCTCGAATTCTGGTCCAGGTTTCAGTCTCCCACGTAATCCTCAGACAGGCCACTCTGTGATGGCGAGGCCTGGATCAGACATATCTCTGATTCCCCCTACCCACCCCAACCCCAGGATCTTAAAGAGCATAACGTACTTTTCTTTTTCTGGTTTGTTGGTTCTATTGATTTGAGAAGGTTTTAGGGACCTGGTGGGTCCTCACTAAAGCTCTTGGATTGATTCCCTTTCCACAGGGTTGTCAGATTTAGCAAATAAAAATACAGGATACCCAGGAATAAGAATTTCAAATGAATAATGAAAATAATACTATAAGTATGCCTCAAATATTGTATGAAATACACTTATACCCCCCAAATCCTTTATTTATCTGAAATTCAAATTTGTCCTATATTTCTATTTGCTAAACCTAGCAACCCTCCTTTCTTTTCTTTTTTTTTTTTTTTTATTAAAGATTTTATTTATTTATTTGACAGACAGAGATCACAAGTAGGCAGAGAGGCAGGCAGAGAGAGAGGAAGGGAAGCAGGCTCCCCGTTGAGCAGAGAGCCCGATGCGGGACTCGATCCCAGGACCCTGAGATCATGACCCGAGCCGAAGGCAGCGGCTTAACCCACTGAGCCACCCAGGCGCCCGCAACCCTCCTTTCATGACCAGCTGTTGTGCTATGTGCTCAGCATCCATTCCTCCTCCTCCTAGTACAAGCGCCTTGACCTTCCTCCAGAAAAATATTGTTCCTCCGTTCTCAGGCCAGGCCGTTTGACTGAGACTCACTTCCCACCCTTTCCTCCAGTGCCATCCCACAGGGAGAGCACATGAGCCAGGCCTGGGCAGAGGGCTGCTTTCCCTTGGAGAACAGTGACCAGCTCAGGGATGACATGTGACCCAAGACAAGCCACCAAGAGCCCTTCCTCCCAGGCATGCATGGGAATCACAGGCACAGATAAACTCTCCTTCCATCCGGGTTGCTAAATTGGTAGGATGCAGGGCCGGCACTGCTGGGGCCCAGTTTGCCACCTGTTGGAGAATAGCTGCCTGAGAAGGAGAGCAACATAGAAGAAAGTTCAAGGCTGACATTCTCTGGAGTACATTGTTTAGAGTACTGGGATCTGGCTATCCTGGGACCCCAGTTACGTGAACCAGTCACGTGTCTTGTTTAGCTTAAACCAGAATGAACTAGGTGTCTGTCCCATACTTGTGACTGAAAGAATTGTCTGATAGTTATAATCTCACAGGCATGCCCCAAGCATGCACATGCGTTCCCTAGAGGAGAGGATGAGCCCAGTAAGACAACAGCAGGAGGAAAGTCAGCCCTTAGCCCCACCCATGTCCATAGCTCCGAGGCAGCCCAGGCAGGAGGCCAGGCCCCAGCCAGCCACGTCCCATCGCCGCCTACCTGCAGCACGGCCAGCGCCCTCCAGAAGAGCTTGGAGTTGGGAATGCACGGGTCTAATGTGGTTTTGGAGGATCTTCCCAAGAAGCTCGTGGGCCCTGTACTCACGGTGTTCAGCACCCACTTGGTGCTTAGCTCATGCTGGAACTTCTAAACAGAGCCCACACACACGGGGGTTTGGGAAATGAGAGGATGGGAGAGCAACAGGGTGCATAGGGCCCTATTGTCAGACAACAATCCAGGGATCAAAAACCAGGGACCTAAATACAGATGGAATTTGTTTGACCAGCCCCGAGTTTAGATGTTAGGACGGTAGTTGTAAACCAAGACTGTCCCCGGCAAAACTGCTGGTGTCACACATTTGTGGTTTTGAACCCCCAGGACACACATCTCTTCTCTGAGTTCTTGCACAGAAGGGTTTTGCACTTACCAGAACATTCCTTTTGCTCCCCAGGCATGGCAGGGGAGGAGTGAAGGTCCTGGGATTCATTCCACTAAACCAAAGGCTCCTGGAGCAGAGGTGATGTCTTACTCTGCTCCAGAGCCCCAATCTTTCTGATAATGGCTGATACATGGTTATTGATCAATACACATTTGTTGAAAATTAGTTCAATTTAACCCCTATAACAACCCAACGAACTAGGCTTTTTTATCCCCATTTCTACATCTGTGGAAACTAGAGGTCAAAAGTAAAGTAACTTGAGGGGCACCTGGGTGGCTCAGTCGAGTAAGCCGATCTCAGGGTCAGGAGATCCAGCCCTGCATTCGGAGCCCACAAGACCTCCCACCGCTTGTACTCTCTCTTTCTCTCTCAAGTAAATAAATAAATCTTAAAAAAATAAAAAGAAGTAACTTGAGGGGTGCCAGGGTGGCTCATTCGTTAAGCATCTGCCTTCATTTCAGCTCAGGTCATGATCCCAGGGTCCTGGGATCAAGCCCTGCATCGGGCTCCCTGCTCCGCGGGAAGCCTGCTTCTCCCTCTCCCACTCCCCTGCTTGTGTTCCCTCTCTCACTGTGTCTCTCTCTGTCAAACAAATAAATAAAATCTTAAAAAAAAAAAAAAAAAGAAGCCACTTGAATAAGTTTATATGAAGTGACATGTAGAATCAGGACCTAAATCCAGGTCTTCTGATCTGTCATGAAGGCATTTCCTACATGGCCACAATCATCTCCTTGGGGGAATAAGATAATGTATATGAAAGCACACGAATACTAAAACACTGTGCAAACACACAGTACTGTGAGTGAAAGACCACCTGTCCTTGGCCCTCATCTCTTGCCCTTATACAACCTTCTATTACTGCACTTTGCATCTATTACTGTAACAAGAGTCCAGAAAACGAATTGAGGGGATTCATTACTGGGTCCTTGCCGGGCTAGGGAACAAGCTACCACTACTTCTACCTCCTTATGCTGGCATTCTAGAAGGAGCAGGTCACACACACCCCTTGCAGAGGGTATATTGAAAATACTTAACAAGCGATTGACAAGGACATGAGTACTGAATAGGAACATTTGCAAGGTTGTGGATGGAGCCAGAGACTATGAGGATAAGTGAACTAAGTCAGTCTGAGGAAGATGAACACCATAGGATTTCACTCGTGTGTGGAACTTAAGAAACAAAACAAAGAAAGGGGAAAATGAGAGAGAGAGAGAGAGACAGAGACAGAGAGAGAGACAGAGAGAGAGGCAAACCAGGAAACAGACTGTTAGCTACAGAGAACAATGGTTACCAGAGGGGAGGTAGGTGGGGGCGGGTGGGTGAAGCAGGCGATGGGGATTAAGGAATGCGCTTGTGATGGGCACCAGGTGTTGTATGGAAGTGTTGAATCATGATACTATACACCTGAAACTAACATTACACTGTATGTTAACTAACAGGAATTTAGATAAAAACTGGGGAAAAAAAAAAAAAAAACAAGAAAAAGATATTGTGGCTCATTTGGCAAAAAAAAAAAAAAAAAAGAGTGCACACAGAAATCCGACCAATCAAAATGAAGCTAGCTAGTATGCAGTACACAGACTGCCCTGTGGGAAAGAGATCGGTCAAATCTGGGTTATATCATTTATGTCACTGACCATCAAATAACCATTTGTACCATGAACTATCATTAACACAAAAATATTTTCAAGTGTACATAATCTGAATCCAGACATATTCATTTTAAAGTCCATGCAGAAAAAAGGCAGCAACTGTACCTAGAAAAACCCTTAAAAAGAAGAGTGAGAGAAGCATTAACCTTTCAAATAGTAAGCCCACAATAAGCCTCTATATTTAAACTGAATGGCATCATCACATCAATAGACTGGTAGGACAGAACAGAAAGTCCAGAAATAAACCAGCACACATGGGAACTAAGTATCTGATAGAGGTTGCACCTCAAATCACTCAGGAAAAGATGAATTTTAAAAATGTATTGAGATGGGGCATTTGGGGGGCTCAGTTGGTTAACATCTGCCTTCAGCTCAGGTAGTGATCTTGGGGTCCAGGGATGGAGCTCCCCATAGAGCTCCCTGCTCAACAGGGAGCCCGCTTCTGCCCCTCCCCCAACTCCTTCTCTCTCTCGCTCTCTCTCTCTCAAATAAATTATATATATATATATGGAGAGAGACAATCAGATAGTCACACAGAAAAAAATTAAATTGGGTTCATACCTTAACCCATAGAGAAGAATAAACTAATGAATTGCAGGTCTAAGTGTTTAAAAAAAAAAAAAAAAGAAGGAAAGGAAAAAAGAAACCATTTTTACTAGAAGAAACATGTACTAGAAGAAAACACAGGTGGAGTCCCTTTACAACCTGGGGGTAGCAGAGAGCTTTTTGTGCCTCACGGTCCAGGTTCAACAAAAAATGGATTAGTAAGTTCTACCCCAGTAGAATTAAAACAAAGACATTTGCATGGTTAAAACCCAAATGAAATATTTACAATGCATATCAGAAAGAACTAATGCCCCTGATTTATGAAGTACTAAAAATCAGGGGCTCAGTCCGTTAAGCCTCTGCCTTCAGCTCAGGTCATGATCAAGGCCAGCATCGAGGTCATTACTTAGCGGGGAGCCTGCTTCTCTCTCTCTCCCTCTGCATGTCACTCCCCCTGCTTGTGCTCTCTCACTCTCTGTCTCTCAAATAAATATATTTTTAAATAGAAATAAAGTACTAAAAATCAAGGGAGCATCCAGACCCCAATACCATTAGAAAATGAGTGTATTTCATGTATTTTCATGAATACACAGTTCACCAAGAAAAAGATTTACTAAAGACCTTTAAGCATGCTCAACCAAACACATAATAAGTAAAATAGAAATGAAAACCACACAGAAATAGAATTTCTCATCTACCAGATTGGCTAAAATTCAAAAGCTTTTGAATGCTTTTAAAGAGGCTATGGGAAAGGGGTGCCTTGGTGGCTCAGTTGGTGAAGCATCCAACTCTTGGTTTTGGCTCAGGTCCTGATCTCAGGGTCATGGGATTGAGCCCCATGCTGGGCTCCACACTCAGTGCGGAGTCCGCATAAGACTCCCTCCCTCCACCCTCCCTTCCCTCAAATAAATAAATAAATAAATCTTTTTTAAAAAAAGGAACTATAGGAAACGGGCATTCTCCTATATTGCTGGTACAAGAAGCAAAAAAGGACAATCCTTCTGAGGGGAAATGCTGCTGTATCTAATGGAATTACGTATGTATTTGTCTTTTCATCCAGCTCTTGTTCTTCTAGGAATTTACCCAAAGATACACTTCTACATTATAGAAACATATACATGTTCATTAAATCATTATTGGTAATAGCAAAACACTGGAGACAACCAAATGCCCTACATCAGAGACTGCCCCAACCATTCTTGCACATGTACAATCTACACACAAATCTAAAAAATAATGAGGAAGGGTTTTATAAACCCAAGTGGAGTTATTTTCAGGATATCTCATTAAAGCACAAAAGAGTATACATAGCACAGTGACTCTTGTAAAAGAAAAAATTGCAAAGTACAAACAAATACGCTTTTTTTGCAAAAAGAAACATAGGAAGGCAAGTCAGTAACTAATGAAATTGTTTACCTGCAGGGATGAGTGGAAACAAGTGGAAGGAAGAGTGAAGGGCTTGGGACATCTCCTTATTATACAGTTTGACTTTAAACCACGTTATGTTTTACATAGTCAAAAGATAAAGTGATATCAAAAACAAAAAACTCAGGGACACCTGGGTGGCTCAGTTGGTTAAGTGTTTGCCTTTGGCTCAGGTCATGATCCCAAGGCCCCGGGATCCTGCTCAGCAGGGAGCCTGCTTATCCCTCTGCCTACTGCTCCCCCTGCTTGTGCTCTCCCTGTCTCTCTCTCTGACAAATAAATAAAATCCTAAAAAAAAAACCCAAACCCTCTAAAATAAAAAATAAAGGAAATGAAACTCACTATATATCATATTGATAACATAACTACAGAGAGAGGAAAAAATTTAATCCTAGTAACTTTTTTTTAAAGATTTTATTTATTTATTTGACAGAGAGATCACAAGTAGGCAGAGAGGCAGGCGGAGAGAGAAAGGGGCAGCAGGCTCCCTGCTGAGCAGAGAGCTGGGATTCAGGGCTCAATCTCAGGACCCTGGGATCATGACCCAAGCTGAAGGCAGAGGCTTTAACCCACTAAGCCACCCAGGCACCCTAATCCTAGCAACTTTTGAACACTTTATGTGTCTTTTGTGGAATATGGTCAGAAGACAAAAAGAACTGCAAAGAAATCTTTACTGTTTCTTGGTAAGTTTGTTGATGGTAGTGGTATCAGGGTAGCAATTTCAAAGTGGTTATTTATTGTAGGATTAAGGAAATGGACAACAAAATTGACAATGTTGGGAACCAACGTTCTCAATAAGGGAAAACAGGAAGGAGAACATATATAAATTCATAAATATGTATATATGTGTGTGTATATATATATATATATATATATCTACTTATGTGAAAAAAAACATACAGTTGACCCTTGGACAACAAAGGTTTGAACTATACAGGTCCACTTATATGCAGATTTTTTTCAAAAATACAGGGTGGTGTACTATAAATGAATTTTCTGTATGGTTTTCTTTTCTTTTTTTTAAGGTTTTATTTATTTATTTGACAGAGAGAGACACAGCAAGAGAGGGAACACAGCAGGGCGAG